TTTTCTTGGTTCAAAATGTAGAAGTTTTACTGAAATTATTGCACATTCCAAATCATAAAAAATCTTAAAAAATGAAGCGTAATAATCTACCTGGGACATTTTGCCTGCATCTAGCACAAAGCGACATTTTTCGGACTTGTTATTTATTACTAATAATCGGAATTGTGTGTTTTAACAAAATGGAGTCATTTATACAGTAGGTAGCTTTTAAAGATTAGAAAAATGAAACCTGTTTTGGTTAAATTTAGTATTATAATATAACACACGGCAGTAAGTGTGAAGTTTGTTTATCACAATTATTATTCATTTTTCCTGTTTTTTTTTTAAATATATTTTTGATACTCTTGGAAAAAGTTTGGTAAGAAATCACATAAAGAAGTTTATTTACCTCTAAATGATGCTTGGCATTGCGGTCGTTAATCTTTACTCGGTAGGTAGAGGGAATTTCTCCCTGCAAAAGAAGAGGCCCATGTCCAGCAGTGACCAATATACAAGTTATAAAGGAAAACATTGTCTATACAAATGTCTAAAATCATAACGTCCAAAATTTACATAGCCACTTTTCCTTGCTGATTCAACTTTATATTTTTGAGATAAGAATCTCACTGAACAAAGAATTGGTATAAATTTACTGTTCTGTGGTCATAATATAATTTTTATTGCCTAAATTGCTGTTTAGTTGGTTAGTTTGTTAGTTTGTTACTACTAATCATCATCGAAATATGATGCAAACATTGAAAATGAAAATGAAAAAATGAAAATGAAAAATTGTTTATTTCTTTAAAAAGACCATACATTATATGATCTTTTTAAAGAAATAAAAGGTATTGGGCGACGATGAAACATTTATAGTATTTTGAAGGTTAGGAAGCAGTATTTTATAGGAATAAAACTTTATAATAATTATTAGAATGAAATATGATGTCAAGCAAAGCAATATTTAACAATACGTATTAACATTATAGTTCTCGTACATAGGCTGCACTCAAAGTATCGGGAATGGAATATTTACACTGTTCCTGTCTTATTAAAATCTTTTTAATTGAAAACTCCTTGGTTTTAAAAATCGAATACCTTTTATTTATTTAAAAAAAGATTCTCGGTCTTGTCACAAGGTTTTGTCAAACTTGAATAGTCGTTGAGAAAATGGAATAGACTCGAGAAAATTCAAGAGCGATGATTTATTATGACTTTCGAAGTGGTTTAATACAAAAACAGTGTGTTGACCGGATGATTTCTGCATTTGGTGATGAAGCCCCATCCAAAACCACAATTTATCGCTGGTTTGCTGAATTTCAACGTGGACGTGTCAAGCTCAGTGATGATCCCCGTCAAGGTCGTCCAAAAACTGCAGTCACCCAAGAAAACGTTGATGCTGTGCGTAAGCTGCTTGAGAAAGATCGACATGTGATATACCGCAAAATTCAGGCAACTTTAGACATTAGCATGAGTCAAATACAAATAATCTTGCATGAACAATTAGGTGTAAAAAAGTTGTTTTCCCGATGGATACCGCATTCGCTCTGTGAAGAGCAAAAAGCGGCTTGCGTTACTTGATGCGTCAGAACTCACGAAAGATTCCACGCAGGATCCTCAAATGCTGTATACAACATCGTATCAGGTGACGAATCCTGGATATATGCGTACGAATCCGAAACAAAAAACCAGTCACGAGTTTGGGTGTTCGAAAATGAGTTAAAGCCAACAAAAATTATTCGTTCACGGAGTGTTGCAAAAAAAATGGTGGCCACGTTTGTCTCCAAAACAGGCCATGTTACGACTGAAGGACAAAGAACGGTTAGTGCAGAATGGTATGCTAGCATTTGTTTGCCACAGGTCGTTTCTAAACTCCTTAAAGAGAACTACTACCGCCGCATCATTCTCCATCACGACAATGCGAGTTCTCACACCGCACACAGAACAAAAGAGTTTTTAGAGCAAGAAAACATAGAATTATTAGACCATCCGCCGTATAACCCCGACCTAAGCCCTAATGATTTCTATACTTTCCCTAAAATAAAGAATAAATTGCGTGGACAGAGATTTTCAGCACCTGAAGAAGCTGGGGACGCCTACAAAACGGCCATTTTGGAGACCCCAACTTCCGAATGGAATGGTTGCTTCAATGATTGGTTCCATCGTATGGAAAAATGTGTCAAATTTCGCGGAGAATACTTCGAAAAGCAATAAATACATTTTTAAATAGTAATGTTGTGTCACTTCCTTGATTCCGGAAATTTTCAGTGCCGTAAAGATCGCTGCACCAATTGAATTGTTAAATAGAATTTTAAGTGCTGCATTACCACGTGCTCGGCGGTGAAGGAAAACTTGCATGTCTGAGACACACTTTACTTTTTTTTTAATGAATATTATAGAAAATTCTAACAATTAAGTCATCATTAATAAAAAAAATCTAAATCTAAATTGTGTTGTAGGTGTTTAAAACCTTATTAATAATAAAGTAACCAACATTAATCTTCGCACAAATATTAATTTTTATGTTCGAGCATTGAATTCTTATTTACGGCCAGGTTTTTAAATGTACGAATAGATGAATATGAAAGCAGTGTTAATTTGAATTCTGAACAATCTTTACCGCATCTCGACAGTCGTTTGCAGTCTATTTTTACATCGAGCACTACGGGCCTAGTCACTGCACGGGGCAACGACCATGGCATGGGATGCACCGACACGGTTAATTTTTTAAAAGTCATTGCTCTTGTAGCTAATGCGTCGACATTAATCGACAACAATAAACATTTAGTGTTTAGAAAACATTCACAATTGTAAAGGTCATTGATTTATTTTAAACTAAAAGCAGTCAATTCTAATAAAATGTTCATGCTTGAAATATGGAAACTTTTCCGAGTAGATCGAGAGAGCATTTTAATTTTTATAAGAGTACAATCTTTAAGTCACTTTTATTATTAAAGTGTAGTGGCATTGGTAAAAGACGCATTAGATCCTATAGGTTGTAGTATAAGGTCGCTTGGATTGGATACATGCCTACCGTCCTATTAAGTACTTACATTTATAAGTAGAAAACAATATATGATATATGCGGTATTGTTACTTATATATATGTGTACTTTATATATATACCGAAGAGAAAGTGAACTCAAGGGATTGCACATTTTCTACACTGTCCTAATAAACTTACATACTTGCACGTTTCGTTGATGTCTTTGCAACGTTCAAAATGATTTATTAATATTTCATTCGACCTTTAACTTATTTCATAAAAAGTTTTAAAAATTTAAGTTTACTCTTTATATGTTACCGTGGTTTATATTGGTATATTTAAAAAATGATGTGACTTTAATAATGTTACTATAGTAAGTAGTTGTAACATTTTTCTATTATAACCTGGGATGAATTATCTACCGCAACCTTAAGCAATACCTTGAGTACTTTTCAATAGTACTACTCATAAAATATGTACCGATGATTAATGACTTCTTGATATGCCGGGCAGTAAGCCGATGAGTTTTGTTTAAAAATGCTACACGTGTAATAAATGTTACCGCTTACGGTTACGAGGTGTACGATAAAGTGAACAAAGCACGGACGTTATACGATTTTCGGCCATCCGCTTAAACGTTACGTATAAGGCTTCATCGAAACTATGGTACAAACTTGTTATTTGTCCCTTTCTAGCTCATATTGTCCGTCCCTCACATACGAGCACGTCATCGCAGAAACCAGCCAGCCAATTGACCGGTATACCGTCAACCTTCAGGTTTTCTTTTATTTATAACTCGCTTCGCTTGGGTAAGTTATGCATCGTTTGAATGTTCTAGTGTACTCGCTACTAACGTATATATTAAATAATTGTTCTTACTACTAAATTATAGTTTCACGGGCAAACAGGAAACCTTTACAATTTTATTCTATCTGTCTAGCCCAAAGCGTATGCACCAATGTAAATGAATGTTTCAGAGTTTTTAATAGAATTAGATTATCATTTAGGATACCATGCAATTCGATATAGAGGTTTAATTTTATGATAAAAAATTATTACAATCTTTCACAGTCATTTGAAATAATTATGCGGTTCCTTAAATGACCTTAGACTTTCTTAAAAAAGCTTGTATTCCGAAAGTCAGGCTACGAAGTATTAGACAGTATGCCTCCCTTTCATTTTCTTCTTATCGGTTTTTGTCCGAATTAAAGTTCTTTAAAAATGGAACTAAGAATCTAAAAAAAGTGTGTGTGTACGCACGTAGGAAGTAATACTTCTTTAGTGTAACAAAACAAAAAAAAACTTGAGCGGAAATTACCTACTAAAGTTGTTGCTTTTAGGTATCAGTGTGCGCGCGAATCGCAACAACTTCATGCTGTCGTTTTTAGGTGTCGAAGTACGCGCGAATCGTATAAATTCTCTGTTGTTGCATTTCTTAGGCGTCTCTCATTTCGCAGTTGCCTAATTTTTTTTATAGATTTCGTTCCTGATAAACACAGTATATATACATAAACATAAGTATAAAGGAAACGAAATAAAATAAATGCAATTACGTAGGTAATTATTCATTATTTGATAAACCTTAGCGTTTATGTAAGAGAAGCAGGGGGAATGCCGTTCACTTAAGAGAAAAACGATGTACTTAAAAAAAATGCTTTATTTAAAAATACGAAAGAATAACAAATATTTAATTAATTGGTTATCCACATTCTAACACAAAAATAATTTATCTTTGCTTGGCGTGTGACGCAAGAGCAAGCAGTGGTCTGCTCATGCATCAAAATGTCGCGATTACACGTACTGCAAATGACTTCAAAAACTACGTGAAGTTAAGAGAACTTTGAGGTTTTCAAGTTTACTGGTACAAGTAACTTAACAGTGTATATAAAGGAGGCATTGTGCGGTTTAATGAACGGACCGCGATGGCGGCGGCGCGCGCCCCGATCTCAGTGCACAGTCGGCCTCGAGCTCCAGACGGCGCGCGCGCAACTCTACGCCACAACGGTGAAAGGCCGCATGACTCATAGCGACGCCAGTCATGAACGAATACGCCGAATATGATTGGAGGCTACAACAATTGCAGAACGAGCGTCTTTGTGACGTATCCAGGAAACGGCTTACCGACGGAGATAAACAAAGGGCCCTTGATGGATTAAAGGAAGCCGTGGATTCAAGCCTCAACCTCGCCCTACGCGACAAAAGTCGATGTCAAGACGATAATTTTTTACGGCGGTTTCTATACGCGCGCAAACATGACGTGCAACAGAGTTTTGAATTGTTAGTCAGATATCATCAGTATCGCCGCGAGCATCCCGAACTTTGGGCGTCGGCAGATGGAGGCGTTTTGCGCGCTCTGGCTGATGGCTTGCCAGGTGTTTTGGCGCAACGTGACCGCCGCGGCAGATGTGTGCTCCTGATGTTTGCGTCTAACTGGACCCCGCATGCCTGCCCTCTACTATCTGTGTATCGAGCTCTTCTACTTACTTTAGAACGGACAATAACAGACGTTCAAAATCAAGCTAACGGTTATGTTATCATTGTGGATTGGACTGAGTTCACGTTTAAGCAATCATGCAGTTTACAAGCAAAAGTTTTAAAGTTAATGATCGACGGCCTCCAAGACTGTATGCCAGTTCGATTTAAGAGCATACATTTTATTGGACAACCTTGGTATGTGGAAACTGCACTAGCTGTAATTAAACCGTACTTGAGAGCGAAGACAAGGGAACGAATCGTGCTTCATGGTAACAATTTATCAACGCTACATGATGCTTTACCGCTAGATATTCTGCCGGCCGAACTAGGGGGCGAAGGGCCTTCTTATAATTCCGAGCGTTGGCTTAAAGAATTCTGTCAGTGTGAGAATATAGATCCATCTCCTGTACCATCAATAACAAAAACTGCACCACAGGATAATGAATTGCCTACAGCAAAACTTGACAAAGCATACATACACAAAGATAATCAAAACTTTTCATTTCACGGCAACGAGAAGAGTGCAAAGTCTGAGTTATTGCGTGATAAAGACTGACCTTTTAGTGCATCTTAATTGTAATACTGTTACAAAGGACAGATGCATCGTGTCCACCTTTATCAGGTGTTCCGGCGGTCTGATAAAATGCTTATTTTGTGATATCGTGTGTCGTCGTGATATTAAATCCATCGATTCGTTAATGTCTTGGACCAAAAGTAGTTATTCGAAAGCATTATGTGAAGTGAAATACGATGACTCATTTATAAGGTTTCTGCGTGAAGTGATGACTTTAACCAAACCGCTTTAATCGTGATCGGAAAATATTAGTGACCTTGCTTAGTGTTCGATAAAATATTAAGTTAGGCTTTAAAGTCGTGGATATCTTTATAGTGAGTTTAAAAGTCCAACTCAATGTTCAACGGCATCCGCGTGTGCCTAACGGTTTTTAACTTCCGTTTTAAGACATTTTATTTCAATTTATTTAAGATATTATCCAATGAGGTGTAACCTTTTTCATCGCAAACTCGTACACAACTCACATACTTATTTAAAACATTGTAAATTAATAAATCGACCATAATACTCCTTTGAATATTTTTATTTATTGGATAATTGTTACTAGTAAGCTTATTATATTATTGTTTGACTGTAATCCTATTTCCGAACGGTTAATGATTTGTGAGGCTTGATGCGCATTTACTATTGTTTAAGTTCCGAAAAAGACGATGCGATTTGTCTCAAATTGGCGTTGTATGTATTGTACGGAGTGATTTGAATTTTATGTATGTTTGACTATGCGAATGGAGCAGTATTATTTTAATTTGCGTCCGCTGGTGTCCAGTACCTATTGTTTTGTTTTATTTGCTTATTGTCTGTGGACATTGATGAGTGTTGTCATATTTATATTTTAAATCAACATGCTCTCTAGGTTATTTTTTTTATATTTCACTAGCTTCTTAGAAAGTCGAATGTATCCCATGTATCTCAGTATGTTTTTGTTGCTTTAGTAACATGTTGTACAACTTAATTTGTGAATATGACAAATTTTCAACGCTTTAAACCTAATACGATGTATTATAATATTGATTACAAAACAACTATTTCATTTTAACCTTGAACAAGTAACTTGTGGGCTTGTGGGAGATTCTTAATCAACATTTTGAAAACAAAAACACCTGGGTCAAAAGTAGCGTTGATTGAATGAATAAACACATTATAAAGCGTATTTTCTACGTACAGACCTACCCAGGCAAATTAGTGTAAAGTTGTCTAATGAATCTAAACAAACGTGTGTGAATAAGAACCGGTCAATTGCCTGTTATTTTTTAATGCATGTTAGAGTCATTTAGGAAACCTAAACCTAAATCTGGACTGATTTCATTTATAATAATAATAATACTATTTGCTTATATTAAGTGTTTAGTAAAATAAAAATGCGCTTATTTTCGTTTTACAAATTATGCAAATGATATTTCAAATTTATCCGATAATATTTTAAATATAATTGGACTATTATCCCTATCCGCGAATAGAACACAATAGTGAAACAGTTGAAATATTCATATGACGAGACAGTGAAATGGTTAAAATATAAGTATGCTTTTAATATATTAAGGATAGTAGTTTTAAATTTTAATATATTGAAATTAGAGAAAGAAATTATTCGTTTGTCTGAAAACCTTCGCGAGCACACACAAAAAAAATTAAGTTAAAAAAAGTTAAAGCGCAGTTTCATCGTAAATAGAGTCAATTGTATCAGAAACGCATAATGTTCAGTTATCGAAACATTCATTTTTAGACATTTTTCAAATCTTATTTTAAATATTAGTACTTAAAAGTAATTATGATTATCTACATATATTTTTACCGCTTGAAATATAATATAAAGATTATTTATGTATGTTTTAAATATGTTTGCACAGTATAAATAAATGAAAAGTCTAGATTGAAAACAGTAATAAAACTCTTCGTGAAATTAAAGAATTCAGTTCTCAAACATTTTCATAACAAATGTTTAAATAACATAAAATATACATTGAGTAAAACTCATTTAGTGGAACATTGTAGAATAACACACGTTGTTCTGTACGCCAGGCTGGGCTGCTTCATATTATGTAGATCGCATCAGTCGTCACACTTGGCGATGCGTGGACAATGGGCGAGTCGGCGCACGCGCACGCCTCATGCCAGTCACGTGGTACTTCCGTCGCTGCAGCGGAAGGAGCCGCCTGTAATTGTTACCTAGTATTTAATCCTCCGTTAATAATGTACGATTTTTATGTACATGTTCTACAACCTTTTAATTCGGAAAATTTACACTTTGTATAGAGATGACCGAATGAATTTTTTCTTGGAATTTTAAATCAAGATTAGGTGATTATAAATAAGCTATTACAGTTTACATGTGGTAAAATTAAAACGACTTTAATATAGATTATTAAGGATAACTCAAAAACTTCTAGTCAGACTTTGATCAAATTTATATGCGACCACATGAGAAGCACCAGCTTTTTATTTCATGGTAAGAGGACGCCATGGTACTGGTAAGTGAAGTGTAGGGCGGCCCCCATTAGATGGAGTGACGTCCCGTTAAGAGATGCGGTAAGTCGATGGATGCAAGTGGCAGGATCGTGCTTTGTGCCATTTCTTTGATATACTTTGGCAGTACTTGTGAATACTTGTAAACTATAAATAGATTTGGAAAATCCAAAAGCGTCTCGATCACTCATATAAACAAAAAAGAACAAAAAAAAAAGAAAAAATCTACCATTTAGGTAAAAAGCAAGTAGGGATAGTACATGCTTTTTTATAGTAGAGGGTGCAAACGAGCATACGGCTCACCAGCTGGTAAGTGACTTCCACCGCCCATGAACAACTGCAACACCAGGGGAATTGCATGTGCGTTGCTGGCCTTTTAGAAAGGAGTAAACTCTTTTCTTGAAGGTCCCTAAGTCGTATCGGTCCGGAAAAATCGCCGGTGGTAAGCTATTCCGGAGAGAGATCGTACGCAGAAGAAAACTCCCAGTGAAACGTACAGTGGTGGACCGCCAAGCATCCAGATGGTGTGGATGATATCCGGAATTATGACCCGATGTGCGTTCGTGAAATTTGGCGGATGGGATTAATCCGAACAATTACTCAGAGCACTCCATGTGGTAGATGCGAAAGAAAATGCAAAGGATGTAATATCTCTTCGCAGCGCCAGTGAATCGAGTAGTTCGGAAAGGACTCGGTAGTTGATGATTCGAGCTGCTCTGCGCTGGATGCGTTCAATTGGAAGGAGCTGACACTGGGGAGCCCCAGCCCAGAGATGGGAACAGTATATTCCATGTAAGGCCGAACCTACGCCTTTGGTAAGGTACTAAATAAAATGGTAGATGTACAGAGAATTATCAAAAAATCATCAACTCTCATTATTATCCAGTAAAAAATAAATAATTAATTTATTAATTCACCACCAAACGTTTCCACTTATCCGCTAAGTGTAAGTGTTATTTATAATGGCGTAATACACATACGTTGGCCACTCAGTAAGTTTTGCGAAACCTGAAATAAGTTCTACGATATCTTTCCAAAGAACTCCTCTCAGCTACTGTAGAGCCGTGGTCGTCACTTTAAATTTCACATTACACGAGCAGCCCGCATTCGGTCCCCGCCGGCACCAATGAAATTGTTAATTGCAATTTTGTCACGTGCTCGGCGGTGAAGGAAAACATCATGAAGAAACCTGCATGTCTGAGAAATAAGAAAAAAAAATATTTTGAATTTCGCATTGGGGCAGCGCGGCGTATTTTTCCTTGCCCTAAAACCCTTTCAAATAAGAGGAAGCCTGTGCCCAGCAGTGGGACGTATATGGGCTGTAACTTTAAAGTACTCTCTACTAGCATCTATAGAAAGTTTCTAGAATTTGAAACACTTTTTACAGTCCGATTTTTATACCTCTTCTGCCTTATTCCTTCTGCCTTTGGCCTGTTCGAAAACTGCAGGCACATGAAAACTGTATCCCTTTTAACTGTTGGTTAGGAGCCAAATTAAGGCTGTATGAAGGGATGTCCTAAGTATTAACACCTGTGTGATGCTCACCTGGGTGCGCACTCCAAACGAGGCACTTGAAGCGCATTGCGTTGTCACGGTGAAGCTAATGCCTGCGGAGCACCATGTTCGGTCGCTTCTTACTTACAGCAGTGAACACTATTGGCAAACCTTTGGCAGTATACTTTGATTTTGTAAAGGAATTGACAATTGATATCCCATCGAAATGACAAAAAAGAAACTAGTGAACACAATCTTCCCTACGCTGCTCGGTGGCTTCGCTTTTGTAGGCATTGGTACGCGCGCTTTTTTTTTCACGTATGTGGACTATGAGAAAGCCTTTGATTCCGTCGAAATTTGGGCGGTACTGCAGTCCCTTCAGCGGTGCCAAGTTGACTGTCGGTATATCGAAGTGCTGAAGTGTTTGTACAGTAGAGCTACGATGGCTATCCGAGTACAGAACCAGAGTACGAAACCTATTCAATTGCAGAGAGGTGTAAGACAGGGTGATGTTATATCCCCGAAACTCTTCACCGCTGCATTGGAAGACGTTTTCAAGCTTCTGGACTGGAAAGGATACGGTATTAACATCTATGGCGAGTACATCACTCACCTTCGATTTGCCGACGATATAGTCCTTATGGCAGAATCGCTGGAGGACCTAAGCACCATGCTCAATGAGCTCAATAGTGTCTCCCAATGAAGAGGTCTGAGGATGAACATGGACAAAACAAAGATCATGTTTAATGTCCATGTCACACCTATGCCGGTAGTTGTTGGGAGCACTAAGCTCGAAGTTGTTGACGAGTATGTTTACCTGGGAGAAATAGTCCGACTAGGTAAGTCCAACTTCTGCCGAGAGGTCAATCGACGGATTCAACTCGGCTGAGCAGCGTTCAGGAAACTACGACACATCTTCTCGTCAGACATACCTCAAAACCTTAAAACGAAATTGTACAACCAGTGCGTGTTGCCAGTGATGACTTACGGATCTGAGACGTGGTCCTTCACTGCTGGCCGTATGA